CGCAAAGCACCTGTACGCGATGCTGGTGCGCTTTCCGCAGCCGGCGGACTGTTATGAAGTGGCTGAGTTCCCTTGCGTTACAGGTTGTGTCGACTACACACACGTGCGTATTAATAGCCCCGGTGTCGACAACGCCGAAGTGTTCCGTAAGCGCAAAGGCTATTTCTGTTTTTCTATAACACGACGACACTTTCCGTCTTTTTCGGTAAAAAAAAAATTGACTCGGTGCTGTGTCCGTGTGCCTCGTCTATCTTTTCGTCCCGTCTAGGGCGCTGTTTCTCGCTCAGAAAGGCATCGCTTGTAGCACAACGCTACGTAAAATTACACACACAAAAAAAGAGGTGCCCATATCACGGGTTTTTTATCCGCGTCACCATCATGCAGTGATACATTGCTGCACCCCGCGAGACAGAATTCTGCTGAGGGCAATGTCCTGACCCCCGCTTTTTCTCTTGTTTACCAAGCTCAACAAAAGGATACGAATCACATTTGTTCTCAGAACTTGTTTTATTTTTTTCATAATAACTGCGACCTAGCCCATTACAGGCATGCACACAGGCGAACATAAAGGCGAATACCGTGAAAATCGCGTCATCTCGTGAGCCAGGTCAGCACAAATACATGCCATGGCGTTCGATTGAGAAAAAAAAACGACGAAAGAACCCAACGCGATGCTTGTTTCTCCTCCAAACAAGCAACCGTGGAGAAACGCACCGCATTCGGGTGGCCACTAAAACCAGCAGGCAACGAACGCTTTACAGAAGCAACACTGCGCATCGCTGTGGTGGCAGGCACCACGTGCCGCTCGTTAGCCGTAAAATGGCAAGAATATGCTTGTGGCCCTTCGTTTTTATAGTTATTTTAAAACGTAGGGTCTTTTTTGGTGTAATTCATGCCTTACGCGAACAACTTCATTATTACCCTCGTTAGCAGGCGAGCAGCGTGTTTCTGCTTTGAAGCTCGTTCTTGACTTGACCAAGCAAGACAGCCTGAGCATCTATGAAACGCGAAGGCTGACTTGGGCGTTTTGAAGTCCGCTGCTTGCTTCGCGCCGACTTGCTCAAGTTAAGTTGAAGTCGCGAGCCAAGTAACATCTCTGCATTCGGGGGTAAGTCCTATCAAGTTCACTGCACCGGATGACTTCCTTCAGTCCGCAGACCTCGACTCGTTCCAACGCGCAATTAAATACTACCGTACAATCATCTACCACCTCACTGTCTTGTCCCTAGCTCCCGACAGTCGGTGAAAACAAGACGACCACTCACGCGTTTGAACCTTCACGATAGAGCGCTACTTCGTCAAATTTATCACCCTCTCGGTAGCCGATGAGTCGCGTTCATACCTCGCCCACTTAGAGTTTTGGAAGCTTTAGAAGCCTTTCGCATATGCCCGATGGCTGGCCGCGTAGGTTTTCCCAAAACTTACGATCTCATCTAGACTCGCTTTTTCTGGGCTGACCTCTCCACTAGTGTTTCCAAACACATCGATCCTCTTCGTCACGCCAGTACCGAAAGCGTTTCACATCGTTTCCCGCCGGCCTTTTTTATAACTTCTCCCGCGCCCGTCCGCTCTCTTCGAGTTCATGGGCATAAACTGCTGCTTACACCCGTCGGTCTGCGCTAGATTGTTACTGCCTTGGACTCTCTTACTCGCTAAGCTGCGATGGCAGCTCGTCCTTCTGGTGCTACCTCCGAAGTCACCGACTTGTTTCTGCTTACCATTATCTTGCACCATGGGGTCCCTCGTGTCCTCCCTGGCGACCTTGGCAAGACATTTCTTTCTCATGTCCTCGTTGAGGTCCCACAAGCCTATGACACCATCCATAGAACCACCCCGGCGTATTGTTCGCAGACAAATGGTCTCACCAAGCGTTTTCAATGAACTTTGTATGACATGAGCCCTATGCATGTTCAGCGCGATCACAAGAATTGGGACAAAACTATACCTTTCATCACTTTTCTCTGCAAGAGTGCCATTCAACGCACAGCACCGTACAGCCCGTTTTTCGTCGTGTATGGCCGTGCACCGTGTATTTTTTTCTAGGCGTTAGCTAGTTCACGCCCGTTGTCCCATCTGTGTCCCCTCCGGGAGAGTTTGCTGCTCGTGTCACCCGCTGACGCGCAATCGCCCCCGCCAACACCTTTACCACTTTGGCCAGGAGTAAAGTTCTCTGGGAATTGACGTTTAGAGTTGTGTCGTTGCACCTTGGCGACGAAGTGTTCCTCTGGACATCTGTTCGCACGCCGACACTGTGTGAAAATTCGTTCACAGATACCTGGGTCCCTCCATTGTGCTTGAATGAACATTGACCGTGAATTATCACGTCGTTCCTGTTCGGCTTGTGACCGCCGTCGTCATGATACCGAGATCACCTACGTCTTTCACCTAAAGTGCTATATCTGGTGCTCATACCTTTACGAAATGGATGTCTTGCTGACCGCTTTCGTGAAAGGGTGAAAGAGTGTGAGTGCATATTGTGTAATTCATCATCTTCCCCTGTGCATACATATTATCGTAACCATGATTATCATGTTGTCTTGCCTGGTGATCGTATAATGGGATTGGTTGAACGTGACTCACGCTGGACCTGAAGGAGATGACGATACTTACTCTCATGAAAGATCCACCTGCTGAAAAGATTCGCATGAAAGTTTCATCCCCTCTGTTGCGCACACACACACACACACACACACACACACACACACACACACACACACACACACACACGCACACACACACACACACACACACACACACATATATATATATATATATATATATATATATATATATATATATGTACACTCCTGCGTTCAAATTCACAATTCACAAATTCAAAGTGGCGGGGGGGGGGATTGCCGCCGTGGTAGCTCAGTGGTAGAGCATCGAACGCGTTATTGGAAGGTCGCATGTTCGGTTCCTGCTCACGGCAAGTTATCTTTTCACCCACTTTTCTTTCTTCACTGTTACATTACAATTGGGTCTAATAACTTCCGCTATACATGCATTGGCATTATTGTCTGTTAGATCTCATTAATATTGTGTCAAAATACAGAAAAACGAGCCCCTAAAGCATACACTTAATATATATATATAATAAGTCACACGAAGAAGCGAACAAGCAAACGAAAAAGGATGCTTTATTGCCAATAAAGCATCGTTTTCCGTTTGCTTGTTCGCTTCTTCTGGTGACTTATAACTCGACCCGAATCCAGGAAGACTTTCAAGAAATATATATATGGTAAGTCATTCCATACTTCGAGGTCAGAGCAGCGCATAGAGAAACGCAACGCAACATTAGTTTCAGTGTAGTCTCATTGGAGCTGTGGTCGTCCCTACTTGCAGGATAAGCCGTACCTTATGGTGAAGGAGAGCCCTAACGAGCCCGAACTTACGGGAAATGATCGTTACGAAGGTTTCTGCAAAGATCTCATGGATGCCCTCGCCAAGGAGCTCCAGATTAAGTACGAATTGAAAGCGGCGGAGGAGACTGTCTACGGTCGCCGAGACCACAAGGTTCAAGGAGGTTGGACGGGACTTATCGGACAAGTAGTGAGAAAGGCAAGCCATATATGTCTCTATTGTTTTTTTACTTTAATCTGCATGTACCACATTGAAGATGAAAGGGACAAAATGTTATGGTACATGCCATTTTTTGTAGTAGTTGGTATAGACCATTTTCGTAAAAAGGCGCCCCTAGCGCCACGGACGCGAACTACAGTCTGCCGCCATTTTCAGGGCAACGCAGCAGATGACGCAGGCTTTGTGTCCCAGCGACGCTGATGCGCGTGTCTTGCAGTGCACACAGACACCTCTTGCGTTCCTGCAGAATGAGAACCGCGTCGGGAGAGCACGCCGATAAGAGTCTCCTGCAGGCCGGATGCATGCATTGCCAGTCATAAGAAGCCAAACTGCTCGTCCAACCCATTGAAGGGTCCAAAATATTGCTCATTGTGCAGCGGAAGCAGCTCAGACAGCTTATCGGAGAGGAATCGGAGCTCGTTCAAGCTAGAAAGCGGTGCGATTGCAGTGAATGATACAAAGACCTAGCCGCCAACACAAAAATCACAGCACTCACGCATTTAATGGCTAGCCTTCTATGCCCTCATGATGGCGCTAGCTATCCCACGCTATAGCGAAGGGAAAGTGACGAAAAGCTCACCGTCAGGTGGCGTATTTATGAAAAGGGTCTAATGCACGAAGGGAAAGTATCTTCGCAGAGCAGTAGATTGGAATTCTTATTATTTGTATCCAAAACTAGATACCTTGTCAGCATTTACTGAGATTCACACCTGCTCATCACCTTTTATGAAAGCAGGAGATTTTTATCGGGGAGTGAATTCAGCTTTGAAAACTGGTGGTAGTACAATACCCTTAAAGATACTAAATGAAACCTTTGCCATTGAGATTTTTGCCTAAATAAAAGTTCGGGTGTTAAAATCAGTAACATCACCTCCTTTCGTGGCAGATCATTGCGGAAAATAAGCGATTTAATGTGTTTTTTTTTTTTGCAAGCTACAGACGTCACCATTTCAATCATAAAAAGTATGCTCAAGGCAGCGGTCTGTGCCCTTTTGAGAAGGTTGATTGCATGAAGCCAGCATGGTTAAGAATGCTGTAGAGGCAAAGAAAAAAATCCAGTGAATTAAAAAAAATCTAATGAACTGGAATATAACTATAGAAACAGTTTTTCTAACATCCATGTCAAGATTTTGCAATTTATAAGCTTAAATTACAAGCAAAACTCCAGTCGATGACCATTTTGGATTTAGGATAATGAGTAAAAGGGGAGCGAAAGGTGTTCTGACTTCGTGACGGGGCTAAATAACACAGTCCCACGGACTGCAGGTAGTCTACCCCTGCTTTAGTGAATGCAACATGTCGCGTTGGTAAGTGTACTACAGTAGAACAGGGATGTTTCAAACGAGAGACCTGGTTTTTTTCTAGTGAATAAGAACCGCGTGAGTGATTGATGGAGTTGTTGCACGCAGGAAGTGGACATGGGCGTTGCTGCCACCCTGGTGACAGCCGAACGTCGCGAGGCTGTGGACTTCAGCCTGCCCTTTCTGGACACGGCCACCGCGGCGCTGGTTGTTCGCACAGAGCCCGTGCTCGGTCGTGGCATGCTCACTTTCCTGGCGCCGTTCTCGTTCGAACTGTGGATCTTCTTCGCCTCCGGTCTCGCCGTCGTAATGGTCGTCATGTTTCTCGTCAGCTTCTTCACGGCGCGTGCATCTGCCACGGCTGACAAGCCAGGAGTCGAGCGGCACACGTCGGGCACGCTCTTCAAGAGCCTCTGCTATACGCTCGAGGCCTTCACGCCGCATTATATTGACTCGTATTACGCAAGGTAAGTCGGCCCTTGGATCACTGATACTTGCCCACTTGCACTGTAGCATTTACTCTTTCGACCCTGTCCGTGTCATTTGATATTATCGCGCAATATTTCCCTTAGCGACTCGGCAACGAAGCCATAGCTGCTAATTAAGGGGGTATTTCATCAATACTCTAAACTGTGATTCACAACACTATTGTAGCAGTTTTGTGGAGCTGGAAGCCAGAAAGAATACGACGCCTGGCTGAAGTCATGGGTGGCACCGAGGCTGGGGAGCTGAGGCGGGCAAGCCGTTTTCGGGACGAAGCGCCGAAGTTGTTTCAAGGACTTCCGCACTGCCGAGTAAACCACTTCGATTTTGTGCACTCTACTAAGTACCAGCAATATGGCAGCCATTTTTCTCACCTTTGCATCCTCGCTGAACCTGATGACCTACCTTCCAATCATGCATGTGAATGTATGAATAATAGTGCCATTGATTTAATTTATAGTTTGTGGTTATCTTATGTTTTATCACACACAAATATTCTACGCCCAAATCGAAATGCACATTTTCAAATGTAATGTTACATACCACGCGCTACTTATTTTTTGCAACTGTTTATTCTACCAGCTGATGCAGAGCTGACAAATCTGCCGCCATCATTGTCTATTTTATGGTAATTAAGACCTTACATTCACTGTTTCCGCTTGTTCATGAGAAAAAATGCGGCAGCCAGCTTTCCATTTTTTCCCTAACAGCTTCGTCAAAGCGTGTGTCTTTAAAAATGTGTTAAAAATGTGTGTCTTTAAAAATGTGGAGGTGCTCATTTTTGGAAGTATTCACTAAATAAAGAACAGAAAGCTGCTCCGTGGGTCGGGCCGCGTTTTCTTTAAGCGGAAAGTTGTAAAATGCGAACGATTAACCAGCAGATAGCAACTGGACAGCATGAACAGTTTTGTCAAGTTGTTGTCTTTGTCTCGATTCATTGCTGTACTACGCCTAAGGATGATGGCTGCATGTAGGTACTCTTTGTACGCTGCCTGATGCGATCACGATCACGAAGTACGTCCACAATTTGCTCGCATGGTAAAATATTTACACTCTTACTTGGTTTTATCATGAATGAGTGGAATGCCCTTCCGAGCAACATTGCAAATATTAAAGAGTTAACTGCCTTCCAGTCCGCCCTACTATCTTACCTAAATAAGCAGTACTGCCATACTAGCCGAATTGTCGGATTCCAAGTTTGCATTATTCTATGCATATTTTTTCTAGATTATACTCTGTATATTAATCGATCGCTTACTTTAATCTACTGAACCTTGTACTACTGAACTGTGTTTGCCTTTCTTACATTGTATTTGCATTATGTTTGCCTGTTATTGCAATTTTTCTTCTTTTTTTATGCTGTCTTCTTTTATTTGCTTCTCTTCATTCGTTATGCTCTGTATTGTATCCCCCCACCCTACGTAACGCCCATTCTTGGGCCCTTAGGGTCAAATAAATGAAATGAAATAAGTGAATGAAAATGAAAAAAAAAATGAAAACGATGTTCTTCCCGCGGTGCTTGAATGAAATCTCTTTCATTTATCGATCACCTTCTCTTACCAAAAGAAATTCAGTACCGTTCCTGTTCCAGAAGAAAAGAAATGCTTTGTAATGTTTCGTAACGGTTTTCATTGGCATAAAACATTTACAATAAGGTAATCAATGAAAATGGCTGATTTCTCCGTTATATGAATTGATAAAACACGAAAGTAAAACGTGTCTCTACAGAAGTAATATAATTTAATGTTTACTCTGCATTGATAAGGGAGAGCTGGCACAACGTCGATTATATTGATGTTCGGCAGCAATAGCATCCCGAGAAACTGATGTGACAGCCAGAAGAGCGTGACTGCTTGGACGCCGAACTTGGGATGAGGTCACCTATCCGCGGCACATTGGAGGTATTGAACACCACTGCCTGATCAGAGGGAAACGCAACGCGCGTTGTGTCTTCCCTTTGGCACAAAGAGTTTCCTAAAATTAACTAGAAATGACTCTGGCGCTGCGATCGTTCAGCGACCAATGGGAATGATGGGTAGTACACGGATTTGCCTAGTCTTCGCACTTGCGAGTGGCGAATCGCACTAGTGGCTTCGTTTATTGGTGTGTTTTGGACCCGATTTGAAGTAGTAAGCCTTAAAAAATAAGGTGGAGAAGTGCAACCGCTGAACATTTGCCGATTTTTCTTTCTTGAGAAAACAGCTTTAAGCTACACGCACCCTTACGGAGCCAAAAAGTACGAAGATTAGACAAATCCGTGTACTGCCCATCATTCCCATGCTCGATGTAGCGCCGTGCACTGCATCTCCCATATACACTAGCGCCAGGGTTCCCTCTAGTGCATGTTTAGTAAACTCTATGACCGTGGCCACTCTGTTTCTAGACACCAACGCGTTCAGACGCAGCCTGTCGTGCTCCGATGGAGCGGTAAGCGGTTGAGTCGGGCCGCAGTAACAGGAGCGATGTAACGGAAAATGTTGAGTATACCGTTTGATTCTGCCTAATCTGCCCACAGGACGCTTTATTTTGAACACTGTTTACATGCATGCTGATGTACAAGCAAGGCCTTTTCAAGTGGAAGACTTCGGAGACACGTTAAACCAGCTGCGTCTGCTCCCTGAAGTGGTCGCCTTAGGTGCCTACCAGATGAGCCACGTGTAGGCAGTAACCTTCAGAAGCGACGAAGGCACCATAAGACTTCTTGCAACCAGCGATGTTAAAGTGCAACGTCAACGTTGTTTCGTCACTCACCCGCCAAGTAAGGATCTTCACATACAGGTCCCTGGCTCGTGTAAAACACAGTCGCCTATGGCGTGAGGGTGGCGTTTCTGTCCTATAGTATATGGTCATGTCACACACATCACTCGCAGTTGATGGCGTGTGATTGGCATTACAAATAAATGGTCAACATCGAGAAACGTTACTCTGAAGCTGAAAAGTGGTATCGATAGCGATGATATTCCCCATCAAATGCGAGTTGCTGGTGAACAAGCTCTTGTGGTCGTCCCGGGCAGATCTCCACTGCGCCTCCGATGTCAAAATACTGGCCATAGTCGCCGAGATTGTCGTGTACCGTGGTGCGGAGAGTGCCGGCGCTGTGGTCACGAGGATGCTGTCTGCGCTCGAACGTACGCCAGTTTTAAAGCACCAGCAGGGACAACGGCGAGTGAAGACACTGTAGAGCCCATCATGAACGAGGCGGATGCCGAGGAGGTGGCTGGCAGTAGGCCGATGCCTGCAAGCAAACGAGACATGGAGGGACGCACGGCTTGTGTTTCCCTTACTTTACAATGAAAAAAAAAGCGCATAATAATGGGCATTGGGGCAACCTCGGGGCCAGTGACAGCACCGCCGACAGCAGAAGCAGGTCAGGTTATGGAGGGCGTGACCGGAGATATTTTGCAAGCGCATAAGTTGGTGAAGGAAACTTCCAGCGCTCCAACCAGCAAACGATCGTGGAAGGACGCAAGGCCAACAACGCGTACGAGTCTGAGATGACGGATATATATATATATATATATATATATATATATATATATATATATATATATATATATATATATATATATATATATATATATATATATATATATATATATATATAGCGGGGGACTGTACAACGCACGCCAAGATTAACAAGGATCCTACCTCGAAAGTTCAAACAGGCCTGCAAAAGACTCTCTCTGGTTTTTCAGTCAATTTCCGCATCAACAAAAAGGGGCTATATATACCTCCCACTGCTGTGCACCAATGATTCTGCTCCAGCGATGTACGGTTTACCAAAGATTCACGAAACCACAACGCCTCTCAGATCCATGGTATATTTCACTAGGTCACTCTTTTACGGAGGAGGAAGACGAAGTGATTCGTTTACGGAACACACCTTGCTCGTCTTTGTGCTTTTCTGGATTTTTCGCCGCAGTTGTGGGGTTTATCGCCCCATATATCGTGGTGATGGATATTCAACCTCACGGGGCACCGTCCGAGGCCGGTTCGACCGCGGGGACTACTTCGAGGAAGCGAGGAAACACGTCTAGTGAGAGTGAGGACACTGAGCTGTACTCCGCATCAAGCGAAGAGTCCTCGGACGACGGCTTCCAACCCGTCCTGTACCGCAAGGCTAAACGACGGATCGTCAATGCATCTTCGGCATCAAACACGACCACCGTGAAAACTGCCCCTCAGCGATGGCCTCACTCTATCCTGTTTGTGCCGCTGAAGGCTACCGACAGTCTACGCGGGCAGAACAGGCAAGCGCTCTCTGTGTATCTCGAGAATATTACGCCAAATCAGATCAAAGAAGTACGTCTAAACGCAAGAAGGAACATCTTGGCAATCGATGTGCTGAACCCACGTGCGCTAAACACGCTTCAGAAAGTAACGCAACTGGGTAACATCAATGTCAAGTCTATAATACCAGCTGATAGCACCACTTAACAGGAGTCATTTATGACATCGCCACTGAAATTCCAAACTCGGATCTCTCAGTGATAATAAAATCGGCAAATGAAGATAACGTCATTGTGAATGTAAGCCGCCTTGGTAACACATATTGTGTGAGAATTACTTTCAAAGGGGACTGTCTCCCCTCCCATGTGAAGGTTGGCCACTTTGGTCACCAGGTCCGACCATTTATTCCAAAACCTATGCGATGTCATAAGTGCCAGAAGATCGGCCATGTGCAGGGAGCGTGCAGGAACTCCGAAATGTGCCCCCGATGCTCAGAACCACACACCGAGGACAAATGCAGCACAACCATACTAAAGTTCCCTAATTTTCAAGGTGCCCACAGTGCATCTTCCAAAGACTGTCCACGCATAAAGAAGGAGTTTACTATTCTTGGACAAATGGTGCGAGACAGCTCTACCCACAAAGAGGCCGCGGAAAAAGTCCGGCGAAGACGACGACGTCACCGTCGAAGATCTTCGCGAAGAACACAGTCAACTACTAGAAGTAAGTCAACGCATCTGGGAACGGCGCCCAC